CCTTCCTTCCTTCCTTCCTTCCTTCCTTCCTTCCTTCCTTCCTTCCTCCCTCCCTCCCTCCCTCCTTCCCTCCCTCTCTTCCTACCTTTTTTGAAATAATCAAATTTAGCAGAGAAAGAATAAAATGAATTGAGAAATTAAATGTTCTAAATATGAACACAGACAGAATATAGTGGGTCATTGAAGATTGGAAGTTGGTTTTAATTTTAATTACCTTCTTAGTGAATCAATCACAGGCTCTGTGTTTTCATCTTTAAAAAAAAAAGATTGTATTTTATGTGTATATGTGTTTACATATGTATTGTACCACATGTGTGTAGTGCCCAAAGATGTAGGAAGAGGGCATGGGATCCCCTGGAACTGGAGTTACAGACAGTTGTGAGCTGTCATGTGTATGCTAGAAACTGAACTTGGGTCCTCTGGAGGAGGAGTAGAAACTCTCATGGTTTTCAATTTTTAAGTTATAAAGGTTACATGTATGCTGCTGTTGCTTTCAAATAAAAGCTCTGAAACATATCTACTTACATAGAAAGGGTTAGAACATGGCTGCTGTTATATCAGAATGCAGGGCAACACCACAGTAATTAAGGACTGTTACAGACACCCTAGAGTCCTTGGGCCCAGTGCCAGCCTTGTAGCCAGGCACATCTTGACTTCCAACCACCTGGCCTTACCCTCTCCAGATATTTAACAAGAACTAAGTGTATCTCATCATTTTCAGCCCTCAAATAGGAGTGGCCTTTTGTTCCAATTTAGCAAGGACTGCTCGAGTTCTGTCTGAAGAACAAACCAGAAGCTTTCATAAGTTGATTTTCATTTTCAGAATACCCAGTTAAGAAGTGGTGGTGTGGTTAAGGGTTAAGAGTGCTTGACTATCATGTGCAAGGCCCAGGTTCAATCCCTAGGAGAAACATACATATAGAGTCATCAAAAATAGAAGAAAAATCCATGACAGAGTTGTCAAGGTGCTAAGGGAGTGAAAGTAGTCCTTGTTTGAGGTCAAGCTCCTTAAGTGTAGTCACCTCTGGACTTCAAAACTGGAAAGAGAAAAGCCAGTGTGGAGCCTTCCACAGAGCAGGTGTTTATTAGGACCCAATACTAATGATCAGCATGCTGCCTTATCAGAGACCATTCACTAGAAAAGGGGACACTGACAGAAATGCTGCCCTTCAACACATAGTGCTAAATGCTCATGTCCATCTCTCCACCTGCCATGGGTTGTAGCCTATATGGGCTCTGAACCATGGTTGTTATCCAGGAGAGGAATACCTGGCCTGGGAAACTCTAAGTAAATCACCTAGCAAATGGCTAATGAGTTAAAGTGGAACATGAATTCAGACATGTCTACATCCAGTGTACAGTCCCTTATGGCTCGAGTGTGAAATGTTCCCCACAGGTACATGTATTTATTTGAACACTTCATCTCTAGCTACTGGGACTTTTGGGAAAGGTTGTCAAATTTGGACCAAGTGAGTCACTGAGGATAGATCTTGACTTCTTGTTTTTTTTCTCCGCTTCCTAACTTGGATATAAAGTAACCACTCACTAAGGCTACCATGCCTCCCTGTCCTGGTGGACCCAGGTCTATATCAACTGCAAGCCAAAATAGACCTTTAAGTTTCTTCTTAGGTATTTTGTTACAATAATGAGGAAAGTAACTGATAAAGACCTTAACTACCAGCTAACTATGAGCAGATTGCCTTCATATTTGAACCTATGAAAAAATTATTGAATGGAAAAGTCTACATCAATTCAGAGAGGTAACTTCCATACTGGCACTTACCTGTTATCTTGCAGCCATAGACTTCAAATCTCATAGATATACCAGTTTCCCAGGATGCAGGTTTGATTCGGACAAATCGAGTTATCAGTGGTTTGGGGAAAACTCCAAAGACAACATCTGTGGGGTTGGTATTTCCCTGAAAGATCTAGATGAGAGAGAGTGTGTTAACAAATTGTATTAGAAACAAATCCCAGAAACTGTCCACAAATGCTTGTAGAAACTGTTTACAGTTCTAGCATTTCCTACCAATGTTGGTGTGCCATTAGCAACCTGCCATGTAATTTTCCCAAATAACTGTAATCAAAGAGAACCCTGTCCAGTATAGAATACCACCCCAATCATGTATTCTTGAGTAGCTACAGCTTCTAAAAGCACTGTCACCAGGATGACATTTATTAAAGGACACATGCTGTCATCTTCAAAAGTGAGTTGTTAACTTTACCTGAAGAGCCACAGCTGCACACATTCCACAGGAGGTCTCTCTCACTATCACCCTTATCCTAGCAGCCCCTAAAGGAGTTCTGGGTTAAGTCTGGCTTTTTTGAAATTCTAGCTCATGTTCTCAGATACAACCCTAAGCCAAATACCTTCCTTCCTTTTCCCTTTCTTCTTTTTGCAGACATTGTTGCTTTCATCCCTGGTCAACCTTGAATGTACTAGGTAAGTGAAGATGACCTTAAACCTCTCATCTTTTTGCTTCTACCTCTCAAGAGCTGGAGTTTCAGGGATGTACCATGTACATAATTTTTGTGGTAACTGAGATGGACACAAGGGCTTTGGGCATATGAGGCAAGCAAGCACTCATGCCACCGAGCCACATCTCCAGCTTCCTGCCCTCCTTGCTTACTAGGTCCCTTGGCAAATATTCTTAGTCATGCATCAGTGGTTTTAATACTTAGGAGTTACTGGTAAAATTATGTTTAAGTAGTCAGAGGCAAAACTAAAAAATAAGTGATTTTTAACCGAAAACTCCTAGTCTTCTGCTTCTAGGTACAAATGGGTACTTTGATTCTAAGAACAATGAGGTGTGTGACCACAAAGTCAAGGAGGGCCCAGTATAAAGCAGGTGCCTGCGAAAGTCCTTTGGGACCACGTGGAATGTGGTGGTGTTGTTTACAGGATCTTTGTACGCCATCATGGAATGTTCTGGCAAAAATGTTCCTCAGATAAAAATGGAAGCTTCTGTTTTCTAGATTTATGGGTCAGCTGTGGATGAGGATGGCAGCAATATTTAAAACAGGCAGTTGTGGTGCACACCTTAAATCCCAGTATTCAAGAGGTGGAGGCAGACAGAGCTCCATGAGTTTAAAGCTAGCCTGATATACACAGAAAGCTCCAGGACAACCCAAGCTACACAGAGGGACCCTGTTTTAAGATCCCCCCATCCAAATAAAGTAATAAAACAGCAATTCTTTGTGATACTGGGTGTGCCAAGCATAGTGACTTTCCTCAATCTCTCAGGTGTTATTACCAGAGCCTTCCTTGCAGGGTATGGAGACTCTCCCCATCTTCCAATATGTGTCATGCAATTTCCTGAATTTTACTCTTCCCTCCAGAGAAAGGACACAGCAATGTCACCAGACTGCTGCTTCTGAATCTTTTTGAGCATGCACGGCACTTTGTTACTTTGCAGCAAACATCAGAAATGTCCCCTGTTCTTCACTTCCACCTCAGCTTCTCCCTCTGGGAAATAATCTTCATGAGTACATTTTCATGTGGCAAAAATAATGAGAAGCTTCCAGAAGTAGTAGCACTTCAAATTCTGCTGTTCTTATATACCCCAGCTAGTTCTCCTAGGGAGTGGAGTTGTCTGAGGAGCCTCTGCACAGATGGGGATGGGGAGAGGTAGGGTGGGTGTACTCATTCTGCTAATGCTGAGAACTTCTCAGCAGTCTTGCTAAGAAGCAGGCAAATTCATATTCTGTCCAAAGAATGAAGAATATCAGGGCAATCTAGGATTGATAGTTGATCTTGACACAATCCAGCTAATGAAATCAGGAAAGATGGTGAGATCTATGGCTGGATGAAATGAGGAGGGCTGAAAAAACAGATGTCAGCTGGATGCTCTGGTTTCATTTAGGTTCAGAGAAGACCCCATATGCCAAGGCTCATCCCTGCTGCATCCTCCTTTATCCTCTCAGCCTGGAAGGCTTGTGTGTGCAGGGCTGCTGTTGCTCTAAAACCCCATGTTTTACCCCAGTCATGAAACCCCAGGCATTACTGCCTTGTGTCCTTTCCATAGGGCCAGCTGCGAGGGGTTTTCTTTCCCAGGTATAGATGGGGTCCAATGTTATCCATCTTCCATAGCCCTTGTACTGTCTACAGAATCTTCCATGGAACTCTCTTCCCACAGAGGAGTTGTTCCCCTACACTTGCCTCAATCTTGCCTGACCTCCACGAGAAAGGAATTTTGCCACTGATCAAGGGAGTCATTATCCATGTTTTATTTCATACTACAGAAGCCTTTCCTCAGTTCCAGTCAAGACTGTGAGTGTTCAAGTGTTCAAGTAAGCTAAGACCATGTGAACTGAACTGGCCTCTCTACAGAGTATATGTGTGTGTGCACGCAAGTGTAGGACAGCGGGCAACCTCAGGTGTTGTTTCTCAGACAGTATTCACCCTAGTTTTTTTTGAGACAGAGGCTCTCACTGGCTTGCCAGTAAGTTTCATGGATACCTTCTCTTTGCACAGCTCAGGTCTGGGGTGGCAACCTTATCCTACACAACTCCCTGCTTTAAAAATCTATCTATCTATCTATCTATCTATCTATCTATCTATCTATCTATCTATCTATCTATCTATCTCTATCATCTACCTATCTATCATTTATGTATCTATCTATGTATTTTATGTATGTATTTAATATGTATAGGTATATGCTATGATATACATTGATTGTTCTATTTCTACCATTTGGGTACTGGGAATGGAATTTGGGTCATCAAAATTATTGGTGAGCACCTTTACCTACTGAGCCATCTCACTGGCATGTGTATGTACGTATATGCTTATATATATTTAAAACATGGGTTCTGGAGATGGAACTCAGGTCCTCCGGCTTGTATGGTTAGAAATTTATTGGCTGAGTATCTCTCCAGTCCCTCAAGCGTTTGATTTTGGGTAACATCAAATATGAATTCTCAAAAATCTTTTGATTAATAAATCAGAGCAAGTAAACCTTCAAATAAGTGGAGCTGGCTGAGGGAGAGAGATACCTCAGTTCCTAAACAACAGAGGGCAGGACAAATGTACTGCTGGGCTGAGCTCAGCTGCTCCACTGGGTGAAGCTCCAAGTGAGTAGGCAGCATGCTATCTGTGTGATCTGAAAGAACACAACAAACCGCCCACAGTTCTGTTCTTACAAGAAGACAGCCAATTGCACTTGTAAATGAGTTTGTGACCACTGCGGGTAGATGAAAGGGCGCTAGCCCATTACAGGGAGGAAAAGAGGAAAAGATGTATGAAGGAATGAAGAAACACAGGGAGAACCCAAGTAAATGAAGCCAAACAATGTCAGGAACTCCTGAGGTGAGCCATGTTAGGTTGTGCATTGTCTGTCCCTGGGGTTGAAGTCGAGTTATTGAGTCTTTTGCTTAATTCAGCTTATGCTGACTTTTTAAGTGACATCTGTGTAACTTCCTCTTGGCCTTCGGGTCTGGGAACATGAGACTCTTTGGTCAGATTTAAACCCCTAATTGCACTTTTCATTTTAAATCAATTCAAAAAATAAACCAGGCCTGACAGAAAAATCCCCATATAAACAAATAAAAATTGATCATGCATGTGAAGGGCTTTAGTGGGGGGGGGCAGGAGGGGCAGGAAGCAAACTTACAATGGCTTTATTTCCCTCTTTCAGGGTGATCCAGTCCTCTCCGTTGGAGCTGATGTCTACTCTGTAAGTCTTGACATAATATTTCTTCTTGGTTTCCTTGGAAATGGCACCCTGTGTCCCTACAGCAGTAACAAATCGCAGGAGGCCCAAGTCCACCTGCAAGAAAATAACACATGGGTTCAGTCAGCTGCCTCATCAAGCACAGTTGTGACCTAAGCAGCTTTTCCTGCAGGCTCTGTACGGGAGTTTCATCCATCAGAACTAGCACGGTCCAATGTGATGTCAATGGGCCCTATCTTCCCAGCCATCCTCTAAAGGAAGGCCAAGGCTGTCAACCTGCCTTCTAGGTATTTATGCCTGCATAGGTCAGTGCCGCCGCCACTTGGATCAGAGAAACTTCTTCCTGCAGTAGGTAACAATCTCTACAGAGACTCAGAACTGGTCAAAGTACAGCGAGTAAAAAGAGTGTTCAGCTCTTAACAGGGTATCTACACCATCACTTCTAAATCTTGGGGAACATCACAGAAGGGGGTATGGAAAGACTGTAAGAGCTGGAGGAAGCAGTAGAGTTTTGTGCAATACCGTCTTGCAGGCATGGCATAACTTACAGCCACTAAATTTACCTGCATAAGACATCCACAAGAATGAGTCTGTTCACATTCCTCACCCCATCCCCTGAGAATCTATCAGTGAAGGAGTGAGAGATATTTTCTTAGTGCTGTAGCCACTAACAAATTGCCCACACTCCTGTAAGCAACCCTGAATAAAATCCATTGGTACACATACACACACACACACACACACACACACACACACAGAGAGAGAGAGAGAGAGAGAGAGAGAGAGAGAGACAGAGACAGAGACAGAGACAGAGACAGAGACAGAGAGACAGACACAGAAAGACACACAGAGAGGCAAAGATAATAAGAGTTATGAGAAAGAAGGATGTTCTCACCACTGCAGCTAAGATTAGCTGGTCCATAGTACAGAGGAAAAAAAATTGAGTTCATGTCAGTACATCTTCCAAGACATTTAGCATATTTCCCAAAGTATATCCTATTTGTAATTTTACAGATGAAGAATAAAGACAGACAAGACAGATGTACACATTGGCTACTGAAGAGGTGTGAACTAGGCCTCCCATCCTGCTTCTGTTCATATTCCTCAAGATATTTTCAGTATAATCAAACCTTTTATAACTTAAAACTAAAACTCATGTTTAGTCTCCATGTGTTGAGTATTTTCACTGTTCTTTCCTTAGATATTTCCTGGAAAGCTGTTTCCTTTTATTTGTTGTATGACCTGTATTTCACAGAGGAAAAAAAAAAGAAAAGAAAAATGTCTTTTTAAAAAAGATACACAAACATAGTATCTTTTAAGGACTCAGAGAGAAATTACCTAATACACCTGGTTTGCATTGATCAGACATTTCAACAGAACAGAGGAACACGGGTTTCTTCAAAAAAGAAGAAGAAGAAGAAGAAGAAAAAACCCAACGAGGTTGAAACAAATCCTCATTCCCACTCAGCTTCAGAATCCTGTGACTTGACAGCCCAATTTTCAGAAAACACTCTTTCAATTAACCCTACAGTGGCTATATGCTCAGGGCTCCTGCAGAATGTAGCTTTGGTGGCCTGCCTGAAAGGCTACCTCCTCTGGTCTGTCAGGAGCAGCTTTTGCTGATGGCCCTGAAAGGAGTTAAAACACAGAGGTTCAGGAGAAGCAGGACTCTGAAGGGAGGGTGAAGTTCCATAGTCCTACAACATTTTCCCTGAGAGGGTCTCACAATGTGACTGAATTTCCTTGGTCTAAAACATAAAGTTGATGCTCCGTAAGCTTTCATCTGAATTTGAGTTCACAGACATCTACTTCCTTCTGCTTCTCAGCTTGACTGCCACTTGCTATTTAGTCAAAGTTGACCCTAAACTTCTGATCTCCCTGCCTCCACCTAACTACTGCTAGGTTTATAGGCATGCAGTACCACATCCTGTGTTTGTTATGGATGGAATCTAGGGCTTTGTGCATGCTAAGCAAACATTCTACCAGATAAGCCCCCAGAGCAAAATTTTAATAGGAATTAATACTATAGGTTAACAATGGCAGCCATTTCAACTTTCAATTTAACAAATAAATGTTTATTCAACACATTTAAAACAAATCCAATGCCTATTTTGATAGCTGGCATTAATAATTCTTTTCAGAAGGGAAGCAAGGAGCTTCTAGTGAATTCTCCATTCTTCTTATCCCCTATGAACACAGGTTTCCAAAAGTGAGACTGCCAATGCTTGTAATATTTGGCAAGTAAAACAAAAGATAGCAAACTGAACTGAATTTCTGATGAAGAGGGGAAAAAATGATACTAACTCAAAAAGTTAAAAAAAAAAAAAGAAAATCCCTACAAGATTTGTGCTTTCAGAGCACTCACACCTGCAAGTTAATGGGCTCGAGACTTCAAGGGTCTCAAAATGCTGTCAGAACACCAAGGCTTTACTGGCCATCCACTGAGTTATTCCAGAGTCACGCATGTCCACTTGCAAGCTGAAAAATCCTTAGAATCTGGACATCCAAGAGAGCGCAGCAGGGCTCTGCTCTCCATGTGACACAAGAGGCTCTTCAGTCTGGGAATGATTAAACTCTCAAGTGTCCAATTGTATCTCGAGTTGATTTAAAATCACTTTAGAACTCTATTCCCTGGATATACTTTCAGACTGACAGACAGACACAATGTCTCCAGTCCCTTGGCTTCCTTTAAACTCACTCTGTAGCTAAGACTAATCTTGAGCTTTAGATTCCTCTGCTTTCACCTCCCCAGTGCTGGGATTATAAGCATATGCCACCATACCTGTTTTATGGGGTTCTGGGGATAGAACCCAGGGCTTTGTGCATACTAGAAAAGTATTCTACCAGTTAGACATATCCCCAGCCCCGATATTTATAAAGTTCTAAGGGAGAGCTAGTTACTAGGCATAAAAAAAAGGGTCACTCAGAAGATTCCCAGGTACCAGGGAATCAGCTAATTTTCAGGAAGGAGCCTGGGGCAAAGATAAGCAATTCCACAGTAGGAAAACGTCCTTAGAACACAAGCATGAATCACATGAAAAGGAAATGGTATTTTCTTTCTCAACAGCAATGAAACATACCAGCAACTTAACCTGTAATTGCATAAAGTTTCCTGCTGGGTTTAAACTCTGTGGTTCCTCTTATTTACCACACTAGGGCATTTGAAATTCTGTTTCATTTTTCTTCCTAACATTACTGCCACTGGTTTTACTAAAGATGGATGACAACCTCACAGAATCTAGGCCTAGACCATTGAGATCTAGAGAGGATGCTGTCTAGATCTCTGATAATCATGGCCTCCCTCGAGCTGTGGACTCAGCATTAATGCTGGGCATATCTACCCACCAGCTCTTTCTCTCCAAGTGCCTAGGGGAATTTTGCTAATTATGACAATGGCCCCAGTCTACCTTCATGTGTATTATTTAATTACATCAAAATACTTGTAACCTAATTAGAATATTTGTAATTTCTAGCAGAAGATATTTTGATTGTATATCTTGACATGTAAAAATTCTTGTGCCATAAAAGAAAATAAAACCAACTTTCTCCTTCCCTTTCTTCCTCCTTCCCTCTCCTCCCTCCTTTATTTCTCCTCTTCCTTCCCTTCTATTCTCCCCTCCTCCTTCTAAACAGGAGTGACTAGTCCCTCTTATCAGCCTAATGGGTAGGCCTGGCAATTCTTCTCTCTGGTAAGTTCATCACACAGCTCATTGAGTTCATCATTGTGTTCTTTTAGTTTCATTAAGTCATTCATGATTTCTCTGGAAAAATATTTATCTTTCTGTATAGTTAATAAATTTCTAGTGAAGATTTCATAAAAAGTAGTAAATTCAAGAAGGAATAAAACTTCTATAAGATATCACTTCTGGGACAACACATTCCACTCTTCCAGAGTCTTTTTTCTATGAAAATACATGTGAATATATATTTTTTGTAGTTATAAAAATAAGGTCATTCAACTCTATGATCAATAACTTGTCATTTTCTTCTGTTTTATGGATATATCTCCTTGACAAGAATTCTTCCTTCCTTCCTTCCTTTCTTTCTTTCTTTCTTTCTTTCTTTCTTTCTTTCTTTCTTTCTTTCTACAGGTTCTGTGACGTTCAAGCTGATCTAGAACCCACTACATAGCCAAAACTGGTCCAGAACTCTCAGGCTTCTCTCGCCTTAGCCTTCTGAGTGCTGGGATGACAGGTGTTGTAGTAATTATTTAATGTGGCCTCTGGTTAATCTGACTATCTAAGCTGCAGCAGCTTTGCCTAGCCCAGCCGCCATGTTTCTCAGCTGGAGGCCAAATGCGTGCTGCAGCTAGAAATGGCCAACTAGAAACACCAGCCCTGACACCCATGAGATGTCAGCATGGGAGATGGCTAAATCTCCCACGCTGTCTCTGCAAGGCTGGGCATTGCCCAGGCCATCCCGCCATCCATGTGGGCTCAGTAGAAATATGAGACTCTAATGCTTAAAGATTAATCAAAGGCTTATATATTTGATAATGATCAGTAACAAGATACCCATACAATCAGAAGTGTAGCCATATACCCAACCTAGATATACCAACTACCTTTGACTGCTACAGACACATGAACATCCGCCTCCATCTCCTCTCTCTCGTTCTCCTCTCCTGTTTCCTAGCTCCTCCTCTTCCTCCTCTCCTCCTTACTCCTCCTCTTTCTCTCCTAACTCCTTCCACCTTAGCTCCTCCTACAACAGGCATGTGCCACCACACCTAACTTGATCACTATTTTTAAGGGCATCACCCTTTACTGGTGGATTTATGTCCTGCTACTTTTGAGCCCTCAGGTATTGGATTTAATGTAATAAGCATGACCCAACCACGAGATACTCTACTGCTAGAGAGGTGTGTTCAATAGACTTGGACAGATAGCAAAAGTGTGGCAACTTCAAATGTGCGACCTTAAGAAGGGCTGACACACACACAAACACACACACACACACAGAGTATGAAACAGGAAAGAAAATATGCAAACGTTATCAGAGGACTGGGAAGGGTGGGGGAGGGGAGACATTTCACAGCTGACTATGATGTCCAAATGTGTAGCAAAGATTCTACAGTAGGATTCTGCAAGTAGACAGGAAGAAGAAGGGGGTGGGGCACACAGGTAGAGCAGAATTGACCATGAAGAAATGTAAAGATGAAACAGCCATCACCAAGTAGCCAGCTATGCTTCTCACACTATAGAAAACAGTGTTGATCTGAAATGTATGGACTCCAACAGACACTAGATTTTTGTAAGTGGAAAGCAGTGATCAGCAGCTGTGGGGACAATGTAGAATCACCAGATCCATTCTTGTCCAGGTCTTGACTTAGCTTTGCTTCCACCCACCTTCTATTCTGGGACACAGGAATGGTACACTTAAGACAAACAGCAGGAATAGTAGAGAAGCCAGCACTGCTCAGGGAAGTTCTCCACAGTGAACCCCTCTGTGTTCTTGAGGGCTTCTTTCCTGCATGTTACTCTCTTTCCCTACAAATATCCAGGCTCACAGGCACTATGATCAGGTAATATGCTCCCTAAACTCAAGCAGCTTTGTTTCTCTCACTGTCTTGATTTTTAGAGAGTCCTTACTTTCTAAGTTTTAGAGTATCCTTACTTTCTAGCTGTCATATTCTTGCCTGGAAGATGGATGTGTTTTCTGGTCTGATACGGGAGAATTCTGTGATGAGGGATGGTGGGGCGGGATATGGAGTGGGGGTAGGCACATGTGCCATTGAACATCAAATGGTTTTCTCAGGTCGTTGAGCACTTCCCACTGGGGGTATGACACACATCAACATCTGGAAAGTATCCCATGGTATGTATGCTATCTTAAGAAGAAGTCCATCAGACTTTGGAGTCCTAGTGGCTGCTTCCTGAGCCAGTTTGCACAGCTCAATGAACATAAGTGACTCAATAAGACACTGTTTCCAACATTGATATAAAATTCTAATACTCTAGGTTGTCTCTCCATGTATTATTTTCGAACAAAGAACTATCAGGCAGGAACAAAGAAATCACTAGCTTTTCCTTTTAGGCATGGGATAGGGAGCATGGTTGGTCTTACTGCTGGGGACCCTGGAAGGCAGGGGTCCCCTGACTCCTTACTTGCTCTTTCTGTTCAGGTATCTACAAGAATAAACACTTTATGGCCAAAGGCATTGTCTTCACAATTACAGGAAACACATTCCCCAGATAAAGAGAGGCAAGGAAAAGCTCACATTTTACTGAGGATCACTGGAGGACGAAGCAGCATTTCTCAGCATTGTATAGTAAATCACACAGCTCGCAGCCTTTGAGCCATGAAACGCATGCTGCTGCTTGCCATGATTGCGCACAACCGGCCATTGGTAATGTAATGTGGAAAACCTCATTTCCAAAATGAAAACCTGCCTTGCTCAATAAAATACGGCCCCGTGAGTGAGCATTGGCAAGGGAGTATTTATCAGCTTTTAATGCTCCCCTGGCAGGCCAGCACAACAGCCTGAGAAAATAAAGGACAAAAGAACCGAGGTCTGATTAAAAACCGGAAAGTCTGCTTGTGAGGGGAAGACATGGCAGATTTTCTTCAGAACATCTCTGATGACTCAAGGCTGTTTAATTCATCAGTTGATACTAAAGCTAAAGAAAATATTTTTAAGTAATTGTCTCATTTCCTTAGATAAAACACATGTTTTCTGACCTAGCCAGGCGTGTAGACCTCAGCTATTCTCGGGTGAGTGGGGCTGATTCACAGCATCTGACCATTGTCTGTCTGAAACTCAGGATCTCTGGCTTTTTATAGATGCTAATCAGAAGACAAACACCTAAGGTTAATAATGTAATCCTCTGATGGTTAATAACATAATTCTCTGTATTATTTTGTCACGATTATTGTCTTATTTAGAAAAATGCTGATAACTAAAATTGCTCTTTTTTTTTTTTTTAATAGAAAACCTGCATTACAGCCTCTGTGTGTAGGGTATTTAATTTAAGGTCGAAACTTAAGTGTGTTACCTCCTTCAAACCATCTATCAAACAAGGAATGTTTTACGGATAAATAAACTGAGAAACAAAATGACATACTCCCTTGTCCAGAGTCACCCTGTGTGGCTCATGGCACCCCATGCCGCTCTTCAAGTTCTGAGCCAGCAAAACTATGATCCAACAACTTTTCTTTGGAAATTAAATATTTTGTGCAGTTATGGGAAATATGAGGCCATCTGTGGCTACCTTGTTGATTACTTTAAACTGCACACAGGGCTACTGGAAGAGTTTACTTTGAATATTATTATATGGTGGAAAAATAAGCTGATAGTTATGATTTTTTTTTTAACGTTCAAGATAAAGAACCAAAGTTCTCTGGTCACTTTAGACACTTGAATGAATTCTTCTGGCCATAGTTAAGAGAAAACTAACTTTTGGTTGCAGCTGCATCTGATTTCTTGACACTCTTCTATTCTCATGTTAATCCACAAACCAGTAGCAATCAACTTAAAAAGAAAAATTTAATTCTGAGGTAGTCTTTGAGTAGCAAGAAGTTCCACTTGGTTCTTTGTAAGGGCTCATGAGAAAGAAGCAAAAAATAAAATAGCATAAATCTCACTCAGCTGCTTACCAGAGATTAATATTCCTATTCTGTCTTTTTATCTCTTGGCAGACTTTACTCAGAGAACAAGGGTGACTTTCTTCTTCAGACCCCAACAAACATACACATACACACACATACACACACACACACACACACACACGAGGGCAGGGGGAAATATGCCATACACATAGACATGTAAATTTATACGCCCATAGATAACACACACATAGGTATACACCATACATACAGACATGTGAATTTACACACACATATAGAGAAACACTACATATGTACATACATATATCACAGAGATAAGTATATACTACATATCACATAATGAAGCATGCACTGTACATACAGACATATAGTGAGACATACAACACATAGATACACACATATACCATACCACACACATCTAACACACAGAGAAAGAGAGATCACAATATGTACACATACAAACCACAGAGATATATACACCATTCTTTCCCCAAGCTATATACACCACACACATAGAGACAAACCATGCACAACTACCTACATACACCACATATACATACCATACTACACATCCAGAAACACACCAGACACATACCATACATAACCACACCACACCATACCACACCACAACATACCCTATACACACAGAGAGAGAAATACTACATATATACATACATATACCACAGAGACAAGCATATACTACATACATACACATCACTACCACATCACAGGACCCTACTCTCCTTTGTGGGCCTTTGTGAAATGCAGGAATCTAGACATGAAGCAGCTGATAGTACAGAGACAAGGGCAGCCTCACTGTGATTTAACTCCAAGCTCAGCATCATACACTCTACTGCTGGGTTGTTTTCTCTGCCTCTGGAACACCAAGCATTCCTAGGAAGGAGAGAAGCACTCCCTGAGATACCACTTTTGAGCCAGCAACACTCTCCTCCATCTTATATAAAGCTTTATGTCTACTCTAGAAACAAAGCACTTTGAGAAAACATTACACAAATGGTGTGTAGCTTTCCCCAGGTCCCCTCTGCTGTTCTGATGCCACATTAGCTCTTCAAACATTAAGGACAGGGCAAGTAGTATGATGAGCAACTTGAACCTGTGCAGGGCATCTTACCCTGAAGGGAAGGCAGTGGCTGGCAATTATTCATTTACAATGCAAGTAAGTGTTTAGTGTGTCTACATGTTTGTTGTGAGGATTAAAAAAGAAGGGAAAGTTACAAGATTTTTGTCCTGCAGTAAGAGAGGGAAAAAGCCAAGTAAACAAAAAAATCTCAGTAGAGAGTATACAGGCTGCACTGAACTGCTCAGCAAATTCTGGGTTTAAGAAATCAGGGGTGAATCTAAAAGAGGGGACTTCTGCCCCTAGACCAAGCAGAGAGGGGCCACCCAGAACCCCCTCTGACAGGCGATCTGAATTCTTGCTTAGGCTGTGAGGCTAAGCACTGCAAGGGAATATAAATAAAAGATAAAAATATCTCTCTGGGTTCCCTGAGGGACAAGCCTGACTGCATAGGGGTTGATGTCAAAAGTATCCCCTCTCCAGGAAAAAGACCTCGGCATGTGTATGGCCCTCATGCCTCACTGGACAACGACAGAGGGACTGGAGCTATTACAAGGTCCCCTTCAAGTACTGGAGGTCAGGTCTCTATCCCCGCCTTCACAAGATTAGAATTGCCACAGCCCTTCTATACTCAGAGAAGGGAGGAGATGTCAGGGGCAGCCCTGCTTACACACTGAAGGCCTAAAATCAGCCATAGACCTAAAATCAGCAATAGGCCTGTCATACATGTATACTAACACCAAGTCTTGGGTCTCAGTGGAAAAACATTGAAACAGATGCTAATGTAAACAGGCAGCTTTTGTGGAAATTTACAAGCCTGAGTAGTCATAGACCTTGTAAATAGGTAGCCTTGGCAGACAATACCAACTTAGATAAGGACAAGCGAGTCATAGGCAGAGTCATAGTGACTTGTCCCCTGAAACTTTACCCAGCCGATACCCGGTGCTGAAAGATATCTGTATTCCCCCTGAACACCCACACTCCAGTGTCATTCCCTTCCCCACATCCTGCCTTTCTGTGTTTATAACCCCTGTGTGAATGAATTATGATTTGAGAAAAAATAAATTAAATAAATTATTTAAAAAAAAAGAAAAAAGAAATCAGGGGTGTTTGGTAGGCATGCTGTGATCAAAGGCAGAGAGAGACCTAGGAAGTGGTTGTGTAATTCTGACAAGGAAGAACAACCTGGCTAAGCAACTCAATTAGCCAATTCCAATTCAAGCTTTAGTTTTTTCCTCTCTTCAACAGAAAATACTCAGTTACTTCTCATGTTATTATGGGTACTATTTGAGAACAAATAATGCACACCCCCACGCCAGGGCCATTAGAGTGTGAAGACTATTTTCCTTATTAGTTTTGTAGTTGGTATGTGTGTGTGCATATGTGTGTGTGTGTAAATTATAATTACTTTGAAGGAGTGAGTCTTCTGCAGTTTTATTCACTATTCCTAAATACCCCTAATCCTTAGCAGATGGCACCAGTGTTCCCTGTGTTTAAATTCAGTGCTGTTCTAAGTCCAGCATGGCTGGCAAGATCTGAAACCCCTTTCTTTCAAACAAAAGGCAACTGCATGATATTAAAGTCAAGAAGAAAGTGTCTAGGCCACTAACAGTAAGGTGGAATGCGATTACTCTTATCCTCATATTTTGCACTGTGAATATTATATAACTCTCCATAAGCTTTCTGGTCCTTTTGAAAGGCTGTTACTTAAAGCTTGAGTGCCATTGAGTCTTCCTGGTTGGGCCCACCCTGTATGGAGTGTTCCTTGTTATTCATTTATCAAATGGCCTCTCATGAACTTAGTGTCTCTTCTGGAAGTTGGCTAAATGGGCAGCAGTGTTGCAATAGCTCTTCTACTGTATCTACACAGACTCAAAGACTTGGTCCTGCCTGCCCACATTCCTGTTAAAGAACAAAGACAAGCATGACAGCCTAGGGTGTTTATGTGTGAGCAGTTAGTCTGGGGCCTGGGACTTCCTCATACCTTTCTTGTACTTTGGCAAAAGTAACATCAAGATCTCTTCACCATCGAAAGCCATAAGGTTCACCTAATTTTCAATCTAGGTGTCATTGTAGAACTACCAATAGCAGGCAGAGTCAAGGCAGAAGCACAGCTAAGCTGGATCCAAGGTGTCTCTCTCTCTCTCTCTCTCTCTCTCTCTCTCTCTCTCTCTCTCTCTCTCTCTCTCTCTCCTTCCTAGTTTCTTGGCAGTTTAAAAATATTTCAAACTAAAACAATCAAGAAAATATTAAATACAGAGAAGGGATCTTTCTATTTAAAATGCTGTTCTGGGGCTAGGAACACAGCTTGGTCAGTGAGGTGCATGCTGTGGAAGCATAAGGACATACGTTTGACTACCAAAGCCCACAGAAAGAGCTGTTGTGATGTGCACACTTATTACCTCAGCACAGGGAAGGCAGATCACAGAATGATCTCTGTACCTCACTGGTCAGCCAGTTTAAACTATCTGGTGAGTTCTAGGTCTGTGAGACACCGTCTCAAACACAAGGTGGGTAGCTGCTAAGGAATGACACTTGAATTATCCTTTGGCCTCTACATGTGTGCACACACAAGTCCATACCTGTCTATACACACATGTGCCACCCCTTCCCTCCAATACAATGTGGTTGTTCTATTCTATCCATATGAGTCTTTTTGCTACATTGGGGGTGAGTCCTAAACGACTGACCAGAGATAAGCAATTATAGTCAGCATCTGCCTGTTCCACAGTCAATCATGCTTTTAATTTCTCCTTTGCCTAAAATCTTGGTTTTAAAAAACAAATGGGGGGATGGGGGAAATTTCTGGAAACTAAAGGCTTGCAGATGGGAGTAATGGCCTCCATTAGTCATTTGCCCTAT